TATCCAGCCCCCACGGGGGTCAGAGTCTCCTTCCCATGGGTGGGAAACGGGGAATGGGGAGGCCAGTTAAACGTGCTTCCACAATGAGCTGGTTCTGAACCACTACGTTTGAAAGCACAAAGTGTACCACTGACTGTTGGGGGGGGGGGTCAAAGCATGCAGATAGAACACACGTGATAGCCGTAACATGAAGAGTGCAGGTTAAAGGAGTTTAGGTGACTGTAAGGCTTTCGGATACCACTAGCATTGGTAAGATACTTCTCTAATTAAACTGGAAAGCGTGGTATACATATGGTTATCCCCAAAGCAACCACCTGAAAAGAATTCCAAACACATTCAGGAGTAAATGGAAAAACTGAAAAGTCCTATGTCTAGGAGACATGCATAAAGCAGCTGAAAGCATTCACACAGAGGTTCAAGGTGAATGAACATTCACACGGAAGTTTTCATTTTCTTAGGTAAATACCTAAGAGTAGGATTGCTGGGCCAGCGGGTATGTCCCTCCCCGCCTTCCCTGCCCACCACCGGAGACACCCCCCTGGAAGGTCCTGTGCAGCGCCTGGCCTTAATTCTGAGCAGTTCTCCGTAGGCCCCCTGGGGAAAGGGCAGGCCATCCTGCAGGAGCTGACCCCAAAGCTGCCACCTGAGGTAGGAGCGGAGCGGAGGAGGATTGGCTGCACCCCCCATAAGCCTGCATCCCTCATGCCCAACACCTTCGACCAGCAGCAGGAGGTCCAGAAGCGCCAGAGGGTTCTAGCAGCCTTGCCGTCCCTTTTCTCCTGGGAGCGCTTCCCTGGGGCGATCTCCGTGCACGCGTGCCCATTCTTGGCTCACACGTCGCAAAGGCACGTGCCAGCCACGGGCCAGTACGGGCTGGGCCTTTGGTGGAGCTGGCAGCCGAGGAGGACTCTCCCAAACACCTGACTTTACACAACTGCTCCCCACTGGCAGTTACCTGAGATGCTGTGCCCCACAGCACCTCCCGCAGGGGGCAGGGACCTGCCAGGGACAGCCAGCGTGTGTCCCTGGGTGGAAAGTTTCTTGGCAGCCCCTGCCTCTGCCCCTGAACCAACTCTGAGGCCATCCTACTGGAATTCAATGACTTTACGTTGGCTTTTCTCACAGCCTCTTGGGGACAACATCCTAAGATACTGCAGGCTCTGGATTTGTTTTTTTTTTTTTTAGTTTTCTTAATTTCCTGACATCGCTGTCACAGGAAGCGAGTGCTGTCTGCTCCCAAGTCCTGAAGCCCAGCCAGTGCACTGAGCACAGTGACTCTCTGGCAGAGCAGCAGGTGGCCACCCCTTGCAACCCACAACAGCCAGGTGTGCCCAACACTCCTGCACAAGGTACATCACGTGGAGGGTCCTTGGAGAGGGTGGGAAAGGGACGCCTGAGCAGGAGGACCCCACCGTCACAGAGAATCTGGATGGCCGGAGAAGGGGCCCAGAGGGCAGTGGGGGTACCCAGTTTGCATTTAGGTCCTTGGGGCTCAGTGGGGGCCCCACTTCCTCCATTCCCAGGCCTGGGCCTCTGCTGAGAAACCTCCATGCCGAGAGGTCAGAAGTCGAAGCCAACAAGAAATCCCAGAGCTCCTGTGTGAGCTCCCGCCCCACGTGACATGCCATCACGAGCTCACGCAGCTCCCCTGGAGGTTTCCCGCCACTTCAGAGCTGCAGAGGGAGACGGGGGTAGCCACACCCGACTCCCGGCTGCCCCTCGGGCGCCCACAGAAAGTGAGCGAGGAGAGTCCGGGCCCCCCTCTCGGCCTCACAGGAAGACCTGGAGTACAAAGCTGGCAGATGCGACGCCGGGGCGGAAACTCACCTCCAGCAATTGCCCACCCGCATCTGACAGTCCGTGGCCCTATAGACACAAGTGTCCTCTGAGGCTGCCACCACCTGCCGCGGCTGAAGACCTGGGCCCGGAGAAGGAAGCGAAGCGGCGCTCTCCTGCATCAGCGTCATGTTGGGGGTGAGGCCCAGGCCGCCCGGGACTGCAGCACCTGGCAGCCTTCCCGCCTGCAGCAGGGACTGCTCCTCCGCCAGCTGCCCCTCAGTGCCCAGCCAAAGGGACACAGGTCGCAGTAACCCCCTGGGACACATGGCCCTCCTGGAGTCTGCTGCAAGTGGCCCCCTCAACACCCCCTGGGTCTGGGAGGAACCAAAGCTCCCAGACCCCCTCTGCTCCCCCTGCCACCTAAGTGGACTCCCCCTCCCTGTTCTCTTCCCAGAGCCCTTGTGTGTCCTCCTCATAACTTAAAGCTTTGTTACTGCTCCTGTGCCTAATCCCCACGTGTCTGTGCTTTGTAAATCAAGTGTAGAGAGAGTATCGACTTGTGTGAGTGGTGACAGATTCAACTGATTAAAGCTTCCCGTGGCCTACCTAATGAAGTGCGGAAAGCAGCACAACTCAAGGGCCGCAAGGACTGCATATCAAGCAGTGTTTAGGCGATGGTTTGGGTAGAAGGCCAGGGCCAAGTGGGCCCAGGGAACGGATAGACAGGGAGACCCACCCCTGACTGTTGGAGCTGCTGCTTCTCACCCGCCTCTCTGACCTGGGTGGAGCTGGATCACCCCCAGGAGTCCATACCCTGCACTAGTCCTTTTAAATGTGGCCTTAACGTTTTTCACTTCATGCTTTTTCCAGACTTGGGCAAATCACTTACACGTACTCACATCTTACATAGAGAGCATGAGCCTAGCGTCAAGAGTCCTGGGCTGGGGAAAACAAGGAAAGAAAACTCCCTTCTGCTCTATAATCACTTCATAAACTCTAGCATGTGACACAGTCCTGATTAATTCTTGTCATCCTGCTCAAGAGAAGCAGAGGACCTCTGAGTACACATTGTCCATTTTTCAGAATTAGAAATAGAAGGAAACTATTGGGGGAGATAAAATTCATTATAATTTAATTATAAAACAAAGCAAAGAATTTCATGCCCACTGTAATACAGTATACTTTTACAAGTGAGGAACAGGCAAAACTATCTCAGGCAAGTTGACAAATATCTCATGACAAATCTTGGGTATAGATAAGCCTGAATCGAGTCTAAACCACTGCAAATATCAGACCATTAGTGTTACAGTTCCCCTCAAAGTGGAATGACCCAGAGCCCGAGCCATGTCTCCACTCCACTCAGGTGCTGAAAATGCAACCCTTGTAAACCATGTCACTTTGCACTTCATGGAAAGAGGCAGCCACTCGGCGTTGCTCTCTCCTCCTTGTATCAGTTTATTAAAATATTTATTGAGGGGCGACTCTATGCTAGCCCCTGTGCTGGGGACTGGGCATGCACAGACAAAAGATGAGTTTTTTTCTGGAAGGGATTATATTCCAGTGGGGCAGGTAGAACCAACAATGACAACTTGAGGCTGAGCACAGTGGCTCACACCTGTAATCCTAATACTTTGGGAGGCCAAGGTGGGAGGATCACTTGAGGTCAGACGTTCAAGACCAGCCTGGGGAATAGTGAGATCCCGTCTCTACAAAAAATTTTTAAAAATTAGCCAGATGTGGTGGTGTGCACCTGTAGTCCCAGCTACTCAGAGGCTGAGGCAGAAGGATCACTTAAGCCCAGGAGTTTGAGGCTGCTGTGAGCTACGATGACACCACTATACTCTAGCCAGGGCAAAAAAAGTGAAAGTCTATCTCAAGATTAAAAAAAAAAAAAAAAGCAATGACAATGTGAAGAGTACATGCTAGAGGGAGATCTAACCAAAGCCAGGTAAGTCAAGACTTCAAGTGGAAGTTAAAGGAGGAGGAAGCTGCTCAGTGGTGAAGGACTATTTTCAGGCCAAGTTAGAAACAGTCTGTGACAGGCAAGGAAGGAAGAGGGAGCTTGAGTCAGTAGGACCCTCCGCAGAAATTCACTTTATTGTACCAATTTCCAAAATCCCACGGAACCGTTATGCTGAGATGCACCCCTACTGTGCACGGCTCAGAGGCGGGGGGCACCCACCTCCCCCACTGTCTCTAGCAGAGTGGACACAGCTGTCATGTGACTCACACCTGTGTCTGCACCAGCACTGAGCCTTGTCATCGGAGCTCAGGACTCACCAAACTCAGTTTCCTCCTAAAAGCTAACAGAAAACACCTGCTTCTGGGCTGTCTTCATAGCTCTTATTCCTTCATTATTTGCAACTCTGGGATTTGCTGATAAAGTAAGTGCAGATTTTGATCTGCAGTGTTCATGATCAGTCAGCAAGTGCACAAAATTCCTATCTAATCTCCCACCTTGGAGTGGGCTCTCAAGGGGGAGAAAGTAGGGAGAAGGGAGGACTTGGGAGAAAATAGGGAGAAGCGAGGACTTGGGAGAAAGTAGGGAAAAGGGAGAAGAAGGGAGAAGAAAGCCCACTGAATTTGAACACACAGATCCACTTTCAGTAAAGAGCCTTTATTTCTACCACTTGTTAACACTGTTTAAATCCTATACTGAAACCTAGTATCGCCCAGACTTCTATTGTTAACATTATCTTGAGCCCTTCCTTATGGCATTTACTCATTTTTCAAAAAGAAAAAAAAAACACCCAAAACTCTCAATTCTCATGACTTTACACACAAAAAGAAAACACTATCTTACATTTTTCCACCCATTTAAAATTATAATTGCTTTTCAATTTTTACTTTGGAGCAAAAACATAACTGTTTTTAAAACTGCACTCAGAAAGAAAAACTTCCATGAAAAATGGATGATTCTGAAGCAAATCGTAAAATTCCTCTGCCCGCCCATGGTTACGGCGGCATTATAACAATCTTTTTCATCTGCAGAGGGCAGGCTCAGAACAGGGTCCACCATTGCGTTCAATGGTTTCCTCCTAGAAGAGCACTCGTGGGGTGAGCCTCGTATAACACTCAACGTCAACTACATCAGAATTTAATGGCACCATCAATCCAACAATTCTTGGTGAGTGGCCAAGCTCTAAAGTCAATCAATTATGGAAAAAGTATAGAGAGACTATCAGAGAGTGTCTAACAGAATGGAAGGTCAAGTTACTTACCTTGTGCAGAGGGAGCACAAGGAACGCTCCTCCCCCACTCGCTTCTGTGATTATGGCAACAAATCTGGGATTGACAGCGCAAAAGGAACTATCCCAGGTCACACGAGAAACCCGGATGTCATCATAGCACTGGCCATTTTTCACCTCTTGTCCAAAAACATGCCGAGACTTGCTCTGTCATACCACTCGCCTCATCGTGTCTGCAGAGGAAGATGGAGAATTATGTTCGAATTATGCACCGAACTGAAAGCTTTACTTTTACAAAACAAAAGCTCCAAGTAGGAAAAACAGAAATGGTATGGTATTTTATCTGTTCTCCTGAAAAATAGCTGAATGGCAAATCCAAATTCCCTTAAATGACAGATACCCAGAGACAACTGTAAAAGACATCAGGGACAGAATTGTACAGAAATGAAAACTTTATAGTTCAGAATCCAGAAACAGCTCTTCATTTTTAATTTCAGGAGGTGGATCAAGGGAAAGGCTGAAGGCAAGTTAGCCTTTGAGAGCTTGGTAAAAACATAAAGATAATCTGCTCCAACCCTGTGCTTTGATATAAGAAAACTCTGAAGCTAAGAAGTTTTCCGGTGGATTTGAAGCTGAAAAAAGCCCAAACACCAGTTAATGATTGTGTGACTGTTTCCATCAATCTGACAAGGAAAGTTTTCAGTTTTTAAACATTTTTCCCAGTCCTTGGCACTCTTCTGTCAGAGAGCTGTACCTGTTCGCCAGTGTTTCCACAACAAAAATTACTTTTAGTGGGGATTCAAAAGAGACACAAGCAACCACCCTTGTCTTCAAGAACCTTCCAATCTCCTCCTAAAACAGGGCGTCTGCCCTGCCTAAGTTTCCTATAAGGCCACACACGTCCTCAAACAATTAGGCCCAGTCCACTGCAGGGACAATTCATTACAAAGTGACATTTCTCCTCTAATTAGCAGTTAATTTCCCAAATCCATTCCAAATATTAACCTCTCTCTTTTTTTTATCCACTGCTATAGATTTTTTAAAAAGCACTTCTATGCTTTTTTTATCAACTGCCACTTTTGAGGCAATGTCTCATCCCTATTTTTAGAATAAGAATTTAAAAATAACTCTGATTTTAATTAGTTAAAAAATATAAAAGTTAAGTTCCTTTTGGCTTTGGAATAGGGTCCCTTATATTACTTACTTCTGCAAAGGAATATTTACATTAAAGCACTACAGAGACTCATTTCCGTAGTACAATAGTGCTATTTGGCTTTGGTTGTCCTCATTTGGCCTTTATTCAAAGAGGCACCACAAAAAAAAAAAAAATCCCATAAGAATGCCAAATGGAAAGTCATGAACAGAACAAAGGCATCAAAAGTAAAGTCAAGTCAGGCGCTGTCCAACAGCTATCATGATAAATAGCTCATTGGCAGAAAATATTCTCCTATTTTTCAGCTTTAAAAACTGAAAACCTAAAGTCTAACTGGTCATAATCTGTAATACTTCACAGGCTCATCTAAGAAAATGAAACAGACTAGAAGTTTCATTACATGTTGGGTGAACATCTGAACAACAGCAACGAAAATTTAAAAAAACCCAACAGTAAAAATAAGGTTTTATTTGATGTAAGAACTTACTTCACAAGTGAAAGCAAAATGTTTGTTAAAATCCATCTCAGACTGTAATTTCCATCTCACAGTTAATATCCTCAGCCTTTCAAGGATAATGTAAACTATGGTTCGTATGCTATTGGCAAGTCAAGTTACATGTAAAAATTTATTTCACAAACCACACAAGAAATGCGTTGGGTGTTAGGTAAAAATGTAGAAAAAACAGGGTTTTATATCATAATAACCCCAAGTAAAACACACTCAAAACACCTGAGTAAATATTACTATATTTTTCTTGATTTTTCCCTGGCTACTTCCATTAATCTTAAACATAAAATGACCGTCATTTTGGCATTTTCCTGTTTATTGAGAAGTTATCTGTTTAAAGATTCTGGCAGATATACTTCTGTGGTTCAGATAACCTTCAATAGGTTCACACAAAAGGACATACATATATCCTGCTGGGAACACATACAGGAAAACCCCTACTAGTAGCAAAATTCTGCTCGGCTCATTTGCTGAGACCATTCCAGAGTGTCAACTACTCCAGTGCTCAGTAGGGCTAGAATGTTCCCTCAGTCAGCAGCAACCACAGGAAGACTCCAAAATGTCCCACTAGAGAAAGGACATGTTCCCTTTAAGCTGCTGCTCTTATAGCAGGCACTTTTTAATGAAGAAGAGATCAGATGTGTTATTTAACAGAAAAAGCCAACATAGATTAAGATAGATAAAGAGACACATGTTCTACAATCAGCTATAAATGGCAATTTCAACAACAACAAAAAAGTTTTAAGTTGGAAATGTAATACTAAACCTACATAGGATATACTTTTTTTTTTTTTTAATGAGACAAAGTCTCGCTCTGTCACCTGGGAGAGAGTGTAGTGGCATCATCATAGCTCACTGCAACCTCAAAGTCCTAGACTCAAGCGATCTTCCTGCCTCATCCTCTCAATTAGCTGGAACAACAGGCACTACCACCACACCCAGCTAATTTTTCTATTTTTTGTAGAGACATGGGTCTAGCTCTTGCTCAGGCTGGTCTTGAACTCATGGCCTCCAGCTATCCTCCTGCCTCCGCCTCCCAAAGTGCTAGGATGACAGGCATCTGTACCCAGTTGAGAATACACTTTCACCACAAAGCAGATCCCAAAGCAAATATGGAAACTATGCAGATTAATACAGAAATTCAATATTCATCATTTCTGGGTATGATATGACTGAATATTTTCTAATTTTCTTAAATAAAAAATCTACCAGTAATACTCCAATATTTCATCTTAAAAAAATCACGTGTTTAACTGCATCCACCTCCTTAACAGATTTCATGCATGTGATATTTCAACAAAAGGAGCTGCCTAATTTACATACTTGAATAGAAGCTATTTAAAAAGGAAGAAAAAAAGACCACATGTAATATTTGCCATAAACCACAGCAGGAAGCCAAGTACACAACAAACCTCCTCACACACAGCAGCCATGGCTAAAATAGATTTGTACTCCACTGATAACATGGAGGTGATGAAAAAACATGTTTTTTCTAGAAAACTTGCTGACTACTGGAGACGACTGACTACAATTATGGAATCACCTCATGTTAGTTAAATTCATCCTAACACCAAAGATGGTAAGAATAAGAAAAGAAAAAAAAAAATTCACATGCATTATAGCCTTCCAAATAGTTTTATCCTGTTATTCATCCAGGTAATAGGTAAAAATGCAAAGAATGAGGCATGCCGATAAAAAAATTCATTTTGCTTCAATTCAATAAGCCAGTACCATTTAGTTTCAAAATGTTCCCAGGGATAAAGAGAAAATACAAGTAAGGGTTTCACAGAAGCCTAGCGGTGGAGGGGTTCCAAAGCTCATCGCTTCCAGGCCCTCCATTTTTCAGCTTAGAGACATCACGTGACTCGCCCAAAGATGAAGAACTTCCGGGAGAAACACAATGAGCTCCAACCACAAGGCGCAGGGCAGTTAACTCTCCACCCCCTGGACTTTCGTACTTTTCCAATGACAGATCCCGCAGGATACAGACGACTCAGGTCCCCACCTCAGCCCGCGACTGGCACTCAGAGCTCTGTCACGGGGGTGCCCCGACAGCCCATGGGCCCCCCGGCCAGTCTGTACAACCCTTAAATACGGAATTGCACTTTCCCCACACTGTATAAATGTAAGTTAATAATGGGGAAAAAAAAAAAAAGGTTTTAAAAAACCAGACACTGGTAGTGAATATTCCAAAATACTGAGGCGAACCTTGGAAGGAATTAGTTATCCCCAAAGAAGCAAATCTTTACTTCTGTTGGAAAAACCCTCAGGCTTAAGCCAGAGGACTATGTGCTCAAGGGTCCCCACAGAGACCAGCACGAAAGAACATGCGCGAGCACCACCACACACATACACACACACACACACGCACACACACGTGTCCTCCTCCAGGAAGGAGGCAGGCAGTGACACTTCCCAGCCAATGTATCAAAAAGGACGAGGAACAGGAGGCGTCTGGGTCCCTCCTCAGCCCGCATCGCTCCGGCACGCACCCCAGGGCCCACCTCCTCACGATGCCGGGCTGTCTGGGGCGACCCGCCGCCACAGGAGGGAACACCGTCGCCCCGCCCCCACGAACAGGCCCCGCCCCTGGGCCCCACCTATCCCCACCAGGGTCAGAGGTCCAGAGGTCGACCTGTGACCTTCCCACAGGTCCCTCAGCGCCCCCTCTGGCCGTGCTGAGCGATGCAGGTGAGGGACGGAGGTGGGCGGTGCCCGAGCGCACTCCCTACCCTCGCGTCGTCTGATTGGTTGACGCTGGAGCCACGCCCACTCTCGGAGCTCCGCCCACTGATCCCCTGGGGCTCCCTCACCCATGTCCCTCAGGGAATCTCCTCCAGGGAGGGCGAGCTCCCAGGACTTCCCTGAAAACAGCAGGTGCATCGCAGTGCAGGAGCTCTGTGTCCAGAAATGAGGGCCCTGCACAGCTGTCGCCGCAGGGAGGAGGAGGACGAGGACATGGACACAGGCGGGGGAGGGCGGAGGGACTGGGGTGCTCTGGGCCCTGGGCAGCGTGCGGCTGTGGCCGTCCCTGACGGGTGTGATCGCAGCCGGGACACCAGCCCTGCCCTGTGTCGTCTGCTCACTGCCACTGGGCCCAGCATCCTCGTCCTCACTGGCACCTGGGCCTTCCCCACCCACCTCGGACATGGGTGCAGGTGACTGTCAGGACTCAGGGCCTGTGGAGAGGCTGACGTGGGCCACAGGGGACACGGCCAGCCTGGGAAAGCTTTAGATCCTGCCCAGTAGAACCCCCGAGGGTGGCTGTGTGACCTCACCCACTCACTTCGTTCATTTGAATGAAGGCACAACAATGCATTTCTTTAAGAACCTGGCTCTGAGAGTTGGATTTGTCTCCAATCATTAGTGGGTACAAACACTGCTGTGGTGAGCAACTGTGAAGCGTGCCGGGTGCGTGTGGATAAGGGTCTCTGCACCAGGCCAATGTGCAGATGTCATCAGTGTTTCCCAGCATCCAGTCCTTTCCAGGATCAAATCATAATTCCCTGAACTGTTACAGTGTAATCAGAGGGCTCATATGCTACCCCTACACAATTGACTTGAGACCAGAGCTCACCTTGCCCCATTCCTGTTTCTTTCCAACACCCTGACCGCCACCTGTTCCAAAGAGTGATTCTTGATTGACCCTAGGGAGGGAGTGACCACGAGCACACAAGGGACGACTGCCAGCCCGTGCTGTGGACACGCCACGTACCGAGGATTCGCTGCATCATCTTTTTTTTTTTTTTTTAACAATGCTATGACTGTGCTATGCTGCATCATCTTAAGTCACTGATTTGGGCCATTTTCTAGCAGCATCACGTACATTATCCTGACTGATGCAGAGTAGCAATTGCATCTCCAGCCCTGGCGAGGATGCCAGTGAGCGTCCTGCACTGTGTGAAGTTCTATGTTCCCACCAGCACTGGGGGACGATGCAGGGTAGGGTCCCAGCTGCTCTGCAGCAGGCGGCTCTGCAGGGTGGATCCTAAGGAGGGCAGGTGCAGGCAGATAGTTAGGAAACCACTCACCCTGCTTGGGGATGTGGGCAGCAGTGTCCTCCCTGATGTGTGACTCTCTGCAAACTGTCACCCACCTTCCCCACAGGAGCCTGGGCCTGGTGCCCTCACCCCATTGATTCTGATTCTCGTCCTCTCCCCTTGCCCTCCCTGCACCGCTTGCTCAGGTCTGGGACCAGAGTGTCAGTGGATAGCTGTGATCATCTATCCAGGGGTAACAGCTGCAAGGGTTTGAAGCTGAGTCCCCATCGTACCCATGAGATGACGTCTGGGCTCTCCCATGGCCTTTTTTCCTGCCCACCTCACTCACACAGGGGACAACAGCTAGGGGCCAAGGGGAGTGGCCCCTGCCCCTGAAGGACACAGGGTGCCCCTTTCTCTCTGATACCAGGAGTCCTGTGGGCTGTGACCTGCATCATCTGTCACCTTGTCCTGCAGAGAAGAGGGCACAGAGCCTGACAGCTACAGATCCCCAGGCAGCCCAGGCTCTCCCAAGCTGCCCCTTGGCTCCCAGGCCATCCCCTGACCCACTCCCCTCCCTCCCACCTGCACCGCTCCTTGCTCTTTCCAGCTGTCATGGTGTCAGCCCAGGCCATGGCGCATAGCCCTGAACTGCCCCAGCAGGCTGGCCCGGGGCGCTGCCACGGACACTGGCACCCACGGCGTTGGCCTGGAAGGCGCAGCAGCGTAGCACTGCTGGACCCAGAGGCACCGTGGGAGCCACCGCCAGCCCCACGTGTAACAAGCAGCGTCGGTCTGGACTTCAGCTTGGGACGCGCTTTCCCATTGAACGTGAGCCCAACCTGTCGTGTAAAAGCATCGTGACTTTGGTGGCTGAAGCTCTGCCGCCCAAATTAGTAAAGGGACAAGAATGTGGCTCGGCATTTTTATTGATCTGTCTTAAATATGAGACTTGGACGAAAGCCTACAATCATTATTCTTGAATGAACGTGAGCACGGAATTTCCACGGCGACGTCCTCGGCGTCTTGCGCCTGGGCAGGGCCAGCCTGGGCCTGCGGGAGCCCTTTCTCCCCACCCGCAGCGGGACGGGCTGCGCGTTCCTTGGAGGAGGAGGACTTTGCTCTTTGAGTCCCTCAGCTGTGCTCCTGGGAAGTGCGCTCACTCTAGAGAGAGCTGTTGACATCTTGCTGGCAGCCGACCCGGGACGGGGGTCCGGGTGCACTCAGAGCTCACACGGCGGAGCTCTCTGAATCACAGCTGGGCTTCAGGACAATCCTACGTTGGGGTGCCGTTGGAACACCTGACAGACAGAGGGCATGGGAAATGTCTTTATGCAGAAGAGACACAGTGAAAGGCAGCAGAGCAGAGGGGCTGGGGGCTGGTGCCTGAGGGCCTGGGTTCAAATCCCACTTAGGGCCACAGGGGCTCGCAGAGGCCATGCCACTCCTCTGCCCTCACCACTGTCACCTAAACATGTTAATAGCACCTGCTTTTTAGCGTGATGAGGCTAAACATGATGAAAGATAGTTAAATCTTTAAGCAAAAAAGGCTGGTTTCTCTTGCTCAGTGTTCAATCACCTTCCCATTATTAAATATCTAAAAGAATAAGCCAGAGGGTGCACGGGTGGGCCCAGGGCAGGGGAGGATGGAGGTTACTTTGCATCCTGGACCTGTGTGGGATGCGTTACACCCCGCAGAGAACATCCGGAATCTTCTCCCGTGATTCCCACGCCATCCCTGGGAGCCGGGCAAAGCAGGGGCTGTGACCCGCATTATGCAGTTGAGGACAGTGACATTTAGAGAGGTTACGGGACTTTCCAGAGTCACGGCACTGATGACCCATGGATCTGGGACAGGCATGCAGGTGGTTCCTTGGGGACAGAGATTCCCGAATGCCTGAGACCTCTAGATCATGCGCTGCACCCCACTAAGACATGAGCCCCCTAATTCTGTTTCTTGAAACCTCCTGATCACAGGTTTCTGTGGGGAGAGAGCTGGAGTCCCAGCATGGGTGCCCGGCCCAGGAAAGGGCTGCTATCCCTGACCCAGGCTTCTGCCTCTAGGTTTCAACCCTGGAAAAAAAATGAAATGTTGTTTACCTCCAATGAAGCCCCCTTTGAAGGACTAGGGTGATTCAAAACTGGGGCTCTTCTATGCCATCATGGTCACACTGTCCGATGCTCCATGTTGACATGCCCAGGGGTCGGTTGTCCACACGAGCAAGTGAGTCCTGTCCACCAGGCTCTCAAACTGCATCAGAACTCGAGACATTCCAAACTGCCTGTCTCATGACACCTCTTCTGAGAATGAGCTTCCTTTCAACTGACAGCCCTGGGTGACAGTTACTGCTGTTTAACTGGTAAGTGGCCAACTGGGCTGGTGTTTGGGTGGCTTAATGAATGAAATCTACAAAGCCTACAGTCTCACATTGCACAGATATTTTTGTCAGTGAGACTGGACTAAGGCTGGGCTGAGAATGGGCGGTGGGTGTGAAGACACTGAGTGGGCACAGTCCCTGTTCCTTTCTTCCTCATGTGACTTCCGAGTCCACCCTACAAACTCTGATTCCACTCCTTTTTTTTTTTTTTTTTTTGAGACAGAGTCTCACTTTGTTGCTCAGGCTAGAGTGAGTGCCGTGGCGTCAGCCTAGCTCACAGCAACCTCAAAGGATTGAGCTCACAGCAACCTCAAAGGAGCCCCTCCTGGGCTCAAGCAATCCTCCTGCCTCAGCCTCCCCAGTAGCTGGTACTACAGGCATGCGCCACCATGCCTGGCTAATTTTTCCTATATATATTAGTTGGCCAATTAATTTCTTTCTATTTATAGTAGAGACGGGGGTCTCACCCTTGCTCAGGCTGGTTTTGAACTCCTGACCTTGAGCGATCCTACCGCCTCGGCCTCCCAGAGTGCTAGGATTATAGGCGTGAGCCACCGCTCCCGGCCTGATTCCACTCCTAAGTACTGCAAGGGAGGTGGACAGACTCCTGGAGATCACCTAGGCCCTCCTTCCTTCTGTCACCAAATGCCCATTCCACTCGATGATGCACTGTCCCTTCTCCTCACTCTCCCAAGCAGCACTCAAAGAGCACAGGTCTGTCCTCATCCACACCATGATGTTACCAATAGAAAATCCCAGTCTCTCCTTTGAAACCTCTCAGAATCAAGTTTGCCAACGTATGGTGTTGGATTTTAGCAACACTATCCAGAAGAGTTGGGTTTTTAATTCACCTTTCTTGTAGTAATGCCTTTTCCTCAGTTTGGTATCATGATTCTCCTTCAGGCAGGAAAGTGGCCTAGGTGTGTTTCCTCTCTGCCTAAACTCCAGATGTGTACTTGCAGGAAAAATATTATTGGTACAACTTGGTTTTTATTTGGTGACTTTACAGACTGCATCGTCCACGTATATTCAACGTGTAGCTTGCTGTCTTCGTATAAACATTTGCATTGCCACCATGCAGCTATACATTTCTAAAATACTCTGGAAGCCCCTCTCTTTGGCCAACTCTCAGTCACTAACCCCCAAGGGGTATCCACTATTCTGACCATGACGAACATAATATTTAAGTATTTTAACCTGTAGATGGATAGATACAGTATGTACTCTATTAGATCTGGTTGAAAATTACATGGGAATGCAAATACTATGTGAGTTTCACCTATGTTGCTTTGTGAAGAGATGATTGTCATTTTACATGGCTGTGTCAGTATGTAGCATTGTAAGAGTATAGCACGAGGTGACACCCTCTACATTTTGCATTCACTCCGCTGTTTCTCATGACAGTGGCTTGGAATGACGCCGCTGTGAACGCTGCAGTGGGGTCCCCAGGCAGGCATGCACATCCTTGTCTTTTGGACACAGGTGACAGGAGTGCGATTGTGGGATTCATAGGTGTAGTCAATGTAACACACACTGGAAAACCATTGATCGTGGTAGCTGAAACAGTGTATATTTCCACACTAACCAGTGAGAGTTCCATTTCCTCCATGTCCTCACCGACTTTGGTATTTTTATCCCTTAGAATGTGTCTATTCTGATGGGCGTGGGAGTGAGAAACCCTAGTTTTCCTATGCATTCTACTAATCACTTGTGATTGAGTGCATTTTACTACGCTGAACCTGCTGATGTTTCCATGATTTGGTGTGGAAAAGTGATGCATAGTTGATTATCTCTCTTAGAAACCACATGTCCTTAAGAGATCTTTCATGACTCTTTAAAGCGTTTTGCTCAAAGAAGGATCCACTAGCTCAAACAGTAGAGGGATGGAGCCTGGTGGAAAGATATTTGCAAAGACAATCTATCTAGAATTGAGGGGGGGAATGGAAAAGACAAATCAAACGGAAAGCAATGGAAATGGACAAATAACCCAACAAAGCGATTTACAGAAAGTCAAATGTGAATGAATAAAAGCTGCATGAGCTTTTCTTAAAATCCGTCTGAGGCAGAAAGAAGGGCATGAGCTCTACGGGGAGGAGTCGTGGAGGGAGCGGGGCATGTCTGCGGGGAGGACCCGTCCAGGGAGAGCCAGGCAGAGGAAGGGGCTCAGGGTGTGGAGCGGGATGGGAGGGGACAGATGCTGGTGTCCCAGGGACAGAAGGAAACATGATCTGAAATGGTTACTTAGGTTAAAAAAAAAAAAAGACAAACCTAAGAGAAGCGTCTAGATGGCTGGCAATGAGAGTGCCAGACACTGTCTGATAAACACGAGGAGCTGCTGTGGCCCTCGGCAGTGCAAGGGACAGCCCTCAACCGTCACCCCCATCGTTTATCATCCCCAGATGTGCTGAGAGCCTCTGGCATCATGAGCAGCTGCAGAACAGAGGGTCAGGAGAGCTTCAGAAAAGACAGACCCAGCGTCCCTCTAACTGGAACGTCCAGGTGTGCACAGAGGCAGGTAGGGCTTGGGAGGGGAGGGTGGCAGGGAGAGTGAGGGACACTCCTGAGACAGCTCCACCCAGCTGGGAGCCCTCTCAGGGTCTGCGGGAGGGGGTCGGGGAGGGAGGTCAGCCATCAGTGCGGCCACTGCACTAGATTTGGGCTGCGGCACGGACCTGCCAGGGCACGGGGGTCACCGTGCACCAGGCCACCTCCACCCACACGGTCAGATCATTGCCTCCTCCTCTGTCTCCTGCTGACCTGTGAGTGCTCGTGGCCACAGGGCCCAACAACAGCCCCAGGGAGAGGACTTCTTTGAATGCGGTGGCTCTGCAGAGGGGCGCCCGGGCTGTGGCAGGGGCAACACACGGCTGCGCCTGGTGGCAGCCCCGTCAGGCAGGGGCCGTGATGCGGTGTAGCTGGGCAGGTGCCAGGGCCCAGGAGGGCACCTGGATGGGATCACGGTTCCAGGCGGGGGCCTGAGCCGGGTGGACAGCGGCCCCCACAGGAGGTTCCAGGGACAGCGGGGGGCAGCTGCCACAGTTGTCATGCGCTCCTTGCAGGGTGCACCATCGCTTGCTGGAAATTGCTTCTGCGGTTTTCTGAAACAAGCCCAGATAAACAGTTGATCAAAAACAAGGGAAACACAGCTCCTGTTTCAACTGACACTAGCTGCCCTTCGTCAGTGCAGCCCAGGTGACTGTACCGCAGCGATCACAGGGCCTTCGAGGTGTCAGAAGAACACCTGGCAACATATAATTAAACTGTGTTATACCAAACTAGAAAACTTTGGTATGGCGTAAAGTTCAATGAACAAAACCCAAAAGATAAATGGTGAATAGGAAAAAATAGCTGCCAGCTATTTTTAAATATTTTAAATATCACAAAGGAATCTGGATGCTGCTGCCAGCATTAATAAGAGCAGCATACGGTGCCTAAACAGGTTGTGCAAACAGCACGGTTCATGCTGAACATCTTTTGCCTGAGAACGAGGGACTTTGGTACCTGGTATAGGTAGTGGGTGCCTACATGACAAGTGTCCAATCAAGTCCGGGAACACTGAGTTTCTGCTCAGCCTGCCTGGCAGACAGCACGTCACATGCTCTCACACCCACTGCTGGAGAACTCGGGTTTCTGCTGTGCGACTCCATTGGGACCCCACCCTTGGAGCCTGCTGTGGCCGCAACTGGTTTCTCCTGAGGGCGGGCATCAGTGCAGGCACGTTGCCCTGGGGCACTTCAAAAGGGTGGCTCTTCTCGCCCTCTGCTGGCAACAGGAGGGAATTCTTGTATGAGCTTCATTGTAAGAACCTGGTCAAGCTCCCAGGGGTGTGGGTCCGCTGTGACTGGGCCCACCTGGAGGAGCCCCTAACCTTGTGACAGGGCACACCTGGAGGAGACCCTAACTCTGTGACTGGGCACACCTGGAGGAGCTCCTAACTTTGCGATGTGGCACACATGGAGGAGTCCCTAACCCTGTCACTAGGCACACCTGGAGCTCCTAACCCAGTGACTGGGCAAACCTGTAAGAGCCCCTAACCCTGTGACTGGGCACACCTGTAAGAGCTCCTAACCCTGTGACTGGGCAAACCTGTAAGAGCCCCTAACCCTGTGACTGGGAACCCCTGGAGGAGCCCCTAACCCTGTGACTGGCACACCTGGAGCTCTTAACCCTGTAACTGAGCACATGTAGAGCACCTAACTTGTGACTGGGCATACCTGGACCCCCTAACTCTGTGAATGGGCACACCTGGAGCCCCTAACCCTGTAACTGGGCACACCTGTAGCTCTTAACCCTGTAACTGGGCACACCTGGAGCCCCTAACCCTCCGACTGGGCACACCTGGAGCCCTTAACCCTGTAACTGGGCACACCTGGAGCCCCTAACCCTGTGACTGGGCACACCTGGACCCCCTAACTCTGTGAATGGGCACACCTGGAGCCCCTA